TTACTCATATAACCATTAATGGTTTTATTCGTCTTTATCAACATTGCCCTGCAGATGTGAACTTGCAAATAACGTGCGTAGATGCACACAAACAACAATGATTTATGTTGAATGCTTTGTATTTCTCGCTAGGCTGCACAGAAGTGTATGAGGACTTCTTTATGGGGTCTGTGCATGTTGAAGATGTGGCTCTTGCACACATATTGGTGTATGAGAATGAGTCGGCAACAGGAAGGCACATGTGTGTCGAGGCAATATCTCATTTTGGTGATTTTTCTGCAAAGGTGGCCAAAATTTACCCCGAATACAATGTGCCTAGGTAATTAGATTTTGCTACTCCTTGAATCCATTGTAAAATGCTTAATTATTAATTGAAGTGCCTCTGATACAAATACTCATTGGAGCAATCACACTATATGCAAATTGTAAAATAAAAATAGCTCATGGCAGAGGGATTTATATGATTTTAATAACTCCTATTCCTTTTTTTTATTATTATTATGTTTGTACCCCCTCCATCCCACATTACTCTCTTAGGCTAATAGAGTCATGTATAGTTAAAATATGAAGTTATTTCATGTCCTCCAATCTAGATGATAATCAGTAAAATAGAATCATTAGAATGTAAAAGTTACCAACCTAAAAAATAATTTAGGAACATAATTATTTTCACGTTTCGAGCAACAAAATGATTGTTTCATTAACTATTTAAAAAAGCATTAAAAAAAGAAAAAAAGAAAGGAAAGGAAGAACATATTCGTGTGGGCATATGGAGGATAATATTTGTGATTATCTATGCTTGGGTGTTGTGTGAATCGTGTTAGTGGCATGTATAGAAAACTTAGCCATGGGAATGTCGGTAGACAAGATTCTAGATTTTGGCGAGTGCAATTTTTCATCTCTTTTAATGGAATGGTGTAGGTTACCCAAGGATACTCAACCTGGACTGTTGAGGAGCAAGGATGCATCGAAGAAGCTAATGAGCCTTGGTTTGCAATTTAGGTCCATGGAACAAATTATTAAGGACTCTGTTGAAAGCTTGAGGAGCCAAGGGTACCTTTCCTGAGAATGTTGTCTTGATTGTTCAATCTGGGGGTATAACGATAACTTATTCTGACATTTTTAACTGTGGTCAACAATAAAATGATGCATGGAGTAACCATGTATCCAGCCTTCAATGTTCTCTATTTAACAAGTCATCGTGGCATTATTCGCATATCGACATTCACGTTAATCAGTTTCAGAGCTTGGGTTGCGCTTGATACCTTTATTCTTAATTTCATTTCGTACTGAAGAATCACTCCCTGTGTAGAGTTTTCTCATCGTATCTGCTAACTTTGGTGCTTCATGCTATGTAGTCTTATGTGTCTAATTCTGGTACTTTGTATTCTTATGTGTATGTGCAGTACCGGACTTCTATCCATATATATTAGGAATTTTAAAATTATAATGTTTGATTAACTTAAATTATAACAATATTATGAAAGTTAATTATTTTTTGTATTTCTATCAAATTTTCATATATGATATATCACATTACTCCTCGACGAGACTCAATATCCATATTCTATATAAAATAAATAAATTTATATATTTTTTTATTATTAACAAATAACTTATAATACTAACTGAAATTAATAAAATTATATATCAATTAAAAAATGTCTATAAAATCTTCTATCTATATATATATAAAAAAAAAAAATATTTTTGATTATTTTTTAAATAGTAACTATTTTCCTCTAAAAAATATCTTTTGCTATTTTGGGAAATTAATTTAACAATTTATGATATATTTAAATTAATCATTTATGGAAATTGTGTCACATTACTTAAAGAAATAATTAAGCCATATAAATATTCATTTTTAAGTTAATTACTCAATTTTTTTTATTGGTACCTTAATTACTCAAATTAATTTAACAATTTATGATACATTTCAAATAATCAGTTTTTGTTAATAAATTTTTAAGAGACCTTAATTACTCATGTGAATTGGTTGATTTACCCAAATATGAGAATTTCTGTTGCAATATCAATTATGTGTCGTGGTAAAAAAATTCTAACTAAATTGTATAATTTATTGTTTAATAAGTGTTTTATATTTTTCGTGTAATTCTTTTGTAAAATACATTATGATATACCTTAATTACGCAAATTTTGAAAACTGACTGATTTACTCAATTTGTAAATAATTACTACAATGGAAATATCGACAATAGTAGTTAATTATGCAGTTTGCAAAAACTGTTCTAAAAAATTGTTTTAATGATAATTTTTATTTATATATTATTTAATAAATGTTATTCACTTTTTGTGTATTTAATTGCTCAAATCATGGATAATTAAAGAAATAATTAGACAATAAAAAATTACATTTTTAAGATACCCTAATTACGCAGATCGTGTAAGTTCGGTTGATTGATTCAATTATAATTTCTTATAAATTTTAAAATAATTGTGTTAAATACAGTTTCTATTTAATTATTTTCTATAGTAAGGTAAGTTGTAGAATGGGTCGAAAATCATCTAAATTTGATTTATCAGCAGGTTATTAATGTAATATGTATTTTATCACATTTTTTTTTTTTACTATTTTATCTCTTAAAATTAACTAATTATAAATTCACTATTTTTGGGTCTTTTTTTATTTTTATCCATAATAAACGTGAGTCTTGATTTTGTTTTGTACGCGGTCAATTAATTTCGTGATTAAACTAAATATCATTTTTTGTATGTTCTCGATAATTTGTGAAATCGAATTATTTGGTATTCTATATATTGATCCAATATACCCGCTTATGGTAATAAATGGTATCTCAATATTTTTGTTTTCATATTCTTAAGCATTACTCGATATTAATGAAAAAAAAATCCAGATAATACTATGGTCGATTCATCGTTGTAAACGTGTGTGGAACATATCAAATTATTGTGTGTGTGTGTGCGTGTGTGGTGTGTGTGTGTGTGTGTGTGTGTTTGTGTATATATATATATATATATATATATATATATATATATATATATGTTTGTTTTTACTTAAATCACATTATAGTCAAATCAAAATTTCTGAATAAAACTTAAAATGAAATCTATTTTTGAAATGAATATAATGTAACTTATTATCAGTTACTTGCACCGCACGGGTCGTAATACATTGAAGGTTTCTGTTGCTAATCCGTTGCTATTTTTCAACGGAAAATATCCGTTGCTATTTACCAACGGAATAATCTGTTACTAGTAATACATTGAAGGTGTCTGTTGCTAATCCGTTGCTATTTGCCAACTGAAAATATCCGTTGTTATTTACCAACGGAATAATTTGTTGCTAGTAATATATTGAAGGTGTCTGTTGCTAATCCGTTGCCATTTGCCAACGGAAAACATCCGTCGCTATTTACCAACGGACTACTCTGTTGCTAATATAATATTGGAAGACTTTGTTGCTATTCTATTGGTATTTTGTTTGTGTTTACTAACGGAATATTTTCGTCACTATTTTCCAACAGAATACAAAGATATAATTTGCCGTTGCTATATTTTGTTAGTATTCTGTTGGTAATCTGTATACAAAAATTATACATATAATACGTTGGTAATTCGTTGGTAATCCGTTGGTAATCCCCAACAGAAAAATTTCTGTTGGTAATTTCCGTTGGCATTTTGACAATTTCTTGTAGTGGACATGTTTTATGTAATTTCTCACAATTTAAATACCATATAACACTAGTACAACACCCGTGTTTACACGGGTGCTTGTTAAAAAATTATTCTTAAATTTTAAAATTAATGAAAAAACTAAATTAAATTTAGTTTACTTTTTTACAAAAAAAAATATATTACTATATATTTTAGAATGATATGTGTTACTTATGACTTACATGTGTTATATTATATTAGTTGTTATAACTTATATCATATAACTACTTGAAATATAAATATATTAGTTGATAAATAATTTTATTTTTCTAATTAATATTAAAAATAATTTTATTTTTCTAATTAACATTAAAAATAATTTTATTATTGTTATAAAGATAAATATACATTATTTTTTTTTATACATACAATATGGATATTAAATCGAAGCTCATCAAAAGAAG